GTCTTATTGATCTCCAGCTAATTTTAAATAATAAACAATCATTTTCCAAAATTCGATTTCATACTGGAGTTCCTTAGGTTATCTTGATGGTATTCAAGTCTGACATAGTACTTTGGCATACTCTCTATCTAATTTCACCAAAACATCTTATTGACATTTAACATGATACTTGAAGAAAATAAAATACTGTAAATGTTAGCTTTGGAACGTATTCGAGATAAACTCTAGAATATTGTACCAAGTCATATCATTTGTCTTATTTCACTTATTCAAAACATTAATGTTCTCTTGGGTATCTTAAAGTAAAAGGATTAGGTTTAGGATTAGTAAATACGTTTATACCCTTATGTTGTGAATAAAATATCTAAGTTCATTTTCCAGTCAATATAAATGAGGTCCAAAAAAAAATATTGAATATGTAAGCAAACAGATAAAATGGATCAAACATAATTAATCTGAATATAAATGCATTCATACAATATGCAAGGTGAATTATTAATACTATCATGCATATTTAAAATTAAAATAAGTTTGTTAACCACATAATATAATAAATCTCAATATAATAAGAGATCATTATCATTATTGGTAAACAATCCATTTTAATTAATGCGAGTCCCTCAACGTCGTAGCATAATAAATCATACCATCAATATGTCAATAACTTATCCTGATGGAGGAGTTCATTATTACTATTGTTGAGATTCATTTGCTATTAAGCAAGCACTTCCATTAAAACAGTATGTGGGTCCCTTAACCACTGCATGAAAAATCGGATAACCAATACGCCAATAACTTATTCGGTTGGTGAAGTTCATTATTGCTATTGGCGGGCAATTCCCATCATCTCCATATCTTTTAAGACAATGCATTGTCTATTTATATAAAATGATTCCCGATTATGTTTAGCCTTTCTAAAATCACCTAGTGTAGACCACTCCATTGGGGAGCTAACACTATTGATTTTAGATTGAGTGCATAACGTTATTAATGCTCCAATGAAAAATAAAACATTAAATATCTTGTCATTATAATCTAAACTCTTTAAATCATGCGTATGACCTTGTTTTTAAAGATCTAATTACAATGAATATTTAAGATTTTTATTTTCATGAGACAACTATTCGTGTAATATTAAGACTCTTCAAATCATGCGTGGGCCTTATTTTTGAAGATCTAATTACAATAATTTTAATAATGAAGACCATGGGGTAATGTATAAAAATCCCCGCTCCCACTCAATTTTTAATCATTAATAATTAGGGTTTTGAATTTATTCATTTACATGATATAATGCATGCAAAATGCCTTGATTTTAATCCAATTAAATTTAGAAAATATTTGGACTTTAAATGATTCACTAATATTTAATTTGAGGCACATTTTAAAAATAATTTACAAAAATAATTTTTCGTTTCCCAATAAGTACCCTCAAATTAATTCGTAATCAAATCCAATTAATTTTCATAACTTAATTAATATAAATTAAGTCATTTAAATAAATATCATGGATCCAATGCATGAATAATAATTAATTAATAATTATCTATTCTATGCATTTCATATATCACATAAATAAATAAATGATTGACAAAAACTAATAAAACGGCCAATGAATTTAGCTTTTAACATTAAAAACTAAATAATTATTAAGTGTTATATTTATTGCACCCCATTAAACTCCCACTATCTTTAAATAATGGAGAATAATTTTAAAATTCACTTTGGGGTAATAATTCACTCTTTAATGAGTGACAACCGCACAAAATAATTATAAAAACAAGCCTAGAGGTATACCGTAGGGTCCTATGCACTTGGAGGAGTCAAACCAATGTCCCAGCAGGTCCCACGCACACACATGCGCGTCTCACGTGCCTGGAGAGTGACCAGATAGTGTGCACGCGCCACCACGCGCTTAGGGAAAGAGGAAGCGTGTGGAAAGGAGTGCCACGCGCTCGCACGCGCTCAGACGCCCTTGATGAATGGGCTGGCGCGTGGCACGCGCTGCCACGCGCCATGGGGCGCTGAAATGGACTGGCGCGTGGTCCTCACGCGCCAGTTAATTGGAAGTGCACTGATAGCACCTTATGTGTGCTGCACCCAATAATTTCCAGCCGCCATCCTTTGATCCTATGGTCAATGATCCGAGTGCACCGCATGTAAGTGCACCGCGCCGCACCGGATCGACAGGCCACCTCCGGTCACTGCATTCGCCGCCGGCAGTACCCGGGTCGCCGAAAAAATCTAGAAAAAATTCCAGAAAATTAAATTAAGCCCCAAAAAATTCCAGAAAAATTCCGAAAAAATTCTAGAAAATTGTTGAAGCCTAATTTAACCCTTTTGGACCTTCTTGAAGCTTCATAGCATTCTTTGATGAAGATTACATGGCTTTAAATAAATTTACAATTTGAAATACAATGGAAAAAATTAAATTACATCATTGAACTTTCAAACGGCTAAATCAAAGCCTTAATTACATTCATCCAAAGATAAAATTACATTCGAAAACCTATAAGCTTCATCCATGGTCCAAACACACATCATCATCCATTCACAATTATACATACATCATCATGTATCAATATATTAAATCATACATCAATATATATATATAATTTGGATCCATGATGATGATTTTGATAAAAACATGATCTCTAGAAATAAATCAAACCATGCTCTGATACCACCGTTGGGAAACGTGCAAGTTTTAAAACTTTTTGAGGGATTTTGATTCATAGATCTTGATTCATCACATAGAGACAAGTTTTATGCAAAAATAAAATATGATATATCATTCAATTAATGGATTGAATACTTACATCAAAGGCCTGAGTAAACCTTTAAATCTTTCCTCTAAAGTGAATGTTCTCACTTATTGTAAATCCCTTAGCAAGATGCCTTCTCCTTGGATCTCCATCTTGTTGGTAATTGTTTTGACTTTAGGAATTACTCATAAGCCCCCATAAATGACCTTGGAAAACTAGGCTTATGGGAGCCTCCATTAGATGAGAACATAAACCCTAATTTCCTAGAGAGAGAAAATATATTCCTTTTTCCTTCTCATAAAAATCACCCCTAAAATATACATAGACCATGTATATATCTAGGCAACATAAAGATAAGAAAAAGGAAACAATAAATCTTTCTCAATCTCTAATTCACATGTCTCAAATCTAATATGATTCCAATATCAAGTTAGGTTATGAGTGAGAATCATTTGGGTTTATTATTTTATTGGCTACAATGAATTAATAATTGGCCCGATCCATGGACCCAATTCAATTAATTCATAAATTAATTTATACTCCACTAAAAGAAATTAATTGAACTTCAATTAAATAATAAATAACCTCTAAGTCAATATTGTACTTTGACCCCTCTATGCATAATAAGTTATCGGATAAATAAAGCCATCAATCCGACTACTTAATTAATATATTTATTTTGGTACATTTGATTATTTCTGGCTCGATCATAATAAAACATTTGTTTGACAAAAATAATAATTTAAATAAATAAATATATAATAAATCATTTTGTCTAAAAACACACGAAGGCCTTCGAATTTACTTTGTGATCAACCATAATCAATACAAAATAAATACAAGTAGCAATGATGCAAATATTGAAAATATAACCCTCTAACTATTAATTACATAACTACCCAAAGTGTCGGTCTAAGGATCCCGAAGAATCCGCCGAACAAATCAAAGTAATTATTAATTAATAAAAGAGTCTATAATTTTCTCATACTTAAGAGTCAAATGTCATGACGGTGATATGGAGCAATTGCATACGACGGCTCTCGCAATATATCTCAACCTAACGCGGATCCAGTTCAAGTCTTAATTAATTATGAGTCCATCCATAATTACCGATTATGAATTATTTATGATTACTATTTATATTCATATATTGATCGTCATCACATACATATATAAATATCTCTTATAATCAAGTGGATACTATCAATTCTATAATGAATTGAAACATAATACATTGAATTGACCAATTGTATAAAACATAAATATTTCAGAAACGTCATGAACTTATGTCACCTTAATTCAAATAGAAATTTGCTATACCAGGACATATAAATCCCAACAGTTTGGTCAGGCTGGTGATGGGGTTGATTGTTGTTAGAAGCATCAGCTCAAGCTGATCTCACAGGCTTTTTCTTCTCTTGATTTTGCTTATACTTTACTGTTGTACTTCTGTTTTTTTGGTTCAACAACATTTCTCCACTATTTCCCTTCTCATTTTTTTTTTGCTTATAACAAGTTAGGACTGTGTGTGTTATGGTCCATGTATTTTTGTTGGCTAATAGTCTGAGCTTGTTTAGATGCATGCCTAATTTGTTAGGCTTAACGCCTTGGCCCTTGTTTGTACAGTTTTCTCATTCAATTCATACAAGTAAATACATGGACCTCTTGTATTCTCTTTAAACTTGACAAGTCATAACTGTATTGTGTATAAATTTGATTATGTCAAGTAGATACAACTAAGTACAAGTTATTTTAAACGAAAATTATAACTGAACAGATGAATTATATTTCTTAAATGCATTGAAGCTATGTTCAATGTGTAAGGAATTAGTGTTTTGAAATTAATAAAAAATAAAAAATTTATTTAAAATTAAACTAAAATTTTCTTCTATTCTAATTTTAAAGAATTAACTTTATGCAACATTATTTTATAAATTTTATGTGCTTCAAATTCATCGAATAAGATAAAAATACCGATAAGAATTAAATGGAATATTTCGAATGGAGGGAGGAGAAGCTATTGATTAAATGTGTTGGTCGGTATCCCTAAAAAGAAATATGGTAGCAAATAAGGTGGCAGCAGTTAGCTGCTCCGAGCATGCATGACGTACACGTGTCAATGAGCTTTGCTACGTGTTCATTAAACACATCTAGATAAGAGATGGTAGAAATGGGCTCAACTTCATCTAGTGTCTCTGACTCTGCTGTGATCCGATACACACAGAGAGAATATCAATGGCGTCATTGTTGAGCCCAGCATTCGCATACACGGTGGTTTACGTGAAAGACGTAGCCAAGTCCGTAGCTTTCTACGCCAAGGCATTTGGCTACACCGTGCGTCGCTTGGACGAATCCCACAGGTATATCATCCATATATATTTATCTATGCTTCAATTATGTACCTACGTTCAATTATTCATTCATTAATAGTTTAGACCCGGCCAACGATAAGATTGTTTTATTGTGATCAAACCAAAATATTAAAACTGAAAATATGGAAGTCGGCAATGCTTTGATGATTGATTGAAAATGTGTGGTCGGTGATGTGATCAGATGGGGAGAGCTGGAGAGTGGGCAGACCACCATAGCCTTCACACCTTTGCATCAGCACGAGACGGATGATTTAACTGGTGCGGTTCGGATCCCACGGTCCGGCAACGAGAGGGCCCCAGTTGAGATTTGCTTCGCTTACCAAGATGTTGATGCTGCCTTCAAGGTACGTGTGTGTGTGTATATATATATATATATATATATATGTTTTACTATATTGTTTGATGTGACTGGAATGGAAGAGCTGTAACCGTTTGATCATTGTTGATCAGAGGGCAGTGGAGAATGGAGCAGTGCCGGTGAGGGAACCAGAGGAGAAAGAGTGGGGACAGAAGGTGGGTTACGTTCGTGACATTGATGGCATTGTGGTGAGGATGGGAAGCTATGTCAACGAGCCACCATCATCCAAATAAAATGGACTCTCATTATGCTCCTTTTTTTTTTCTTTTTCGAGTCAACGTTTTTTTTTGTTGAATTTGATTGGTGAATGTAATATATAAATGAGTTAATTTGAAAACTCTAGCTTTTCATGCTTGCATCATCGTTTATCCAATTCATTTAACGTTGTGTTTGGAACCATTTTCATTTTTTAAAAGAAAATGGAATTTGAAAGGATTTGAAGAAATTATTACTACATTATAAAATTAGAGAAATTTGTAAGGAATTTGATAAGTAATTACTTTAGTTTACCAAAATTACTCTCCTACAAATTCCTTTCAACGTTTCAAGTCCTACAAACCAATTCCAAAAAAATTTAAGGTGAAATATTCCGTGAAAGAGTAAATGATTTAAATGACTTTGTATAGTAATTATTTTACCATATAATATATTATATTTGATGTCAAAATAAAGTACTATTTAAAAAATAATTCATATAACTTAACAGATATTGGCTAAATAATAATTCGATTCATCAACAATTTACTTGTTTAAAAAAAAAAAAAAAAAAAAAAAAAAATTATCTTCAACAATCCATAAAAAATTATTTTTAACTCTGCAAAAATAATATAAAAAGACAAATATAAGAAATGATAGTTTTATCTAATTAAATTTTATTAAAATAATTATTTGATATTTTAATAAGGTCATTTGAGTTATTTTTTTAATTTATTTTTATGTAAGGTTATTTGAGTATTTAAAAAATATTCTAGTATTGATTACCGTTAGGAGAAATTTGAACCAAAGGGTTTGTTATATCTTAACAAATGTCCATAGAGTTAACAAATGTCCATAGAGTTCGAGACTATTTTGACAATAATTTTAACTGACAGAAATTTGAACAAACCTTGAACGATCGAGGAATTATTTTGACAATAATTTTAACTAGAAAATATTTAAACAAACCTCAAGGGTCCGGATATTTTTTTCCTCCGTCTTCAGAAATAAAACTTTGGTAGTTTAGTGTTACTGTGGGAAAATACGATTCTTTCCTCGTATAAGGAAATCATGTACAGGCTGTTAATAGTTAGGGATTTACTAGTTATTGTAATCCCTGATTTCTAGGGATCAATTTTTTATATGTATTAATGTGTATCTCCGGGATTAGTTAGTTTCCTATAATAACATTATTCTGATCTACATATAACAGGGTATTCCCAATTCTTTAATCAACTGATTTGATTACCAATTTCAGTAACTTTGTCATGGTATCAGAGCTCTAGGCTCGTTTTCTGGGTAATCGTTTTCTCTTGGCCTTCTTTACTAGTCATTTTCTTCGTGTTCTTGTTATATGAAAATCCATTGTTATCAAACCTGTGGATTCCACCTCTCTAAACTATGTCAGCAACACTTCAGAGATCCCTGTAACTGGAAGAAGCAATGGCTCTGTCCCAACAGGAGAATTGCATAATATCCAGGCGGTGTATAGGTTGAACGGGAAAAATTATCTGAAATGGTCTTAAATGGTCCACGCGTTCTTGAAGGGAAGAGGGAAACTGAGCCACTTGCTTGGTAATGGTCTAAAGAAGGAGGATCCTAAGTTTGATGCTTGGGATGAACAAGACTCTATGCTTATATCCTGGTTATGGAACTCTATGTTACCAGAAATCAGCGACACTTGTATGTTTTTTAGCACGGCCACGGAGATATAGGAAGCAGTCAAGCAAACCTAGTCTAAAGTACGTGATGATGCACAGATCTATGAGATCGAAACCAAAATCTCCGCTACCAAACAGGGTAATTGGTCAGTCACCGAATATTCCAACCTCTTGAAGAGTCTGTTGCAGGAGATGGATCATTATCAGTGCATTCAGATGAAGATGTAGCTATCCTTAAGAGGTTTGTTGAAAATGACAAAATTTACAATTTTCTTGTAGGTTTAAACATCGAATTTGATGTTATAAGAGTGCAAATACTTGGAAAAGAAGATTTGCTAACCTTAAATGAGGCAATTACAATTGTTCTTGCTGAGGAAGGAAGAATGGGTGTTATGATTGAAACTCACACAGTAGAGAGTTCGGCCTTGGTGTCAAAAAACACGGCTGTGAAGAATTATGGCTCCGAACAGCGTTTTGGAGAAGGCAATGGGCAAGCTGACATGTCAAGACCATTCAACAAGGATTCTTTGTGGTGTACATACTGCAAAAAATCCCGCCATACTAAGGAGAAGTGCTGGAAGCTCCATGGCAAGCCTCAAACTGTGAACAAAACTTGGTCAGAAAAGAATGGACAACTAAGAGGAAAGGGACAGGCACATGTGGCAACCACACAATCAAACAGTGAAGACAAACTTTCAATCCCATCTGTCGAATTCAACAAAGAAGAGATAGAGTAATTAAGGAGCCTATTGGGAATGTTGGAGAAACCGTCTACAACAGGTACTTGTTCTTTGGTGTTCTCAGGTATTTATTCTCTTTCCCCCTCTTCTCATGTTTTTAGTGCTTCGGATATAGTCTCCTCAAGCTCCTGGGTCATTGACTCAGGAGTTACAGATCACATGACCCATTCCTCAAAAAAAATTATTTCATATACCCCTTATTAAGCAATAGGAAAATAATAACAGTTGATGGATCAGTGACAACCTTGGCTGGTCAAGGAGATATTTTTTTGGATGACCACCTTACATTTAAGAATGTCCTCCATGTCCCAAAACTATGCACCAATCTTGTGTCAATCCAGAAACTCACTACAGATTCTAATGGCAGTGTGACGTTTTATCCTCTCCGTTGTATATTTCAGGAACATGGCACGAAGAGGATGATTGGATATGCTAGGGAGAGAGATTGTCTATACTACCTTGAAGAATCAAATGGACAAAATAGAGTTGAGAGTTTGTCACCATTATCATTTCTTTCCGAGTCATTCAAATTCAATAAAGACAAGAAATAGCTTTAACACCTTCGTCTTGGTCACCCATCATTTAATGTTCTCAAAATAATGTTTCCTTCATTGTTCAAAAGTTTATCCATTGAAAATTTTCATTGCGATGTATGTGAACTTGCAAAGCACAAACGTACTTCTTTTCAAATCAGTAATAAAAGAACTTCTGTTCCATTTACCGTGATTCACAGTGACATTTGAGGACCTTCCACTATTGCTAATGTTTCTAAGGTAAGGTGGTTTGTCTCATTTATTGATTATTGCATACGTGTGTTTTGGATTTTTCTGTTAAAAAATAAATCGGATGTGAGTTCTGTGTTTCCAACTTTTTTCAATATGGTCAAAACTCAGTTTGGTGTTGGGATAAAGAGATTTCGACATGACAATGCTAAGGACTACTTTAATCAAATTCTCTCTCCGTATTTCCAAAAACAGGGCATAATACATAAATCCGCCTGTGTTAACACACCTCAACAAAATGGGGTGGCCAAACGAAAGAACGACCACCTTCTCGATATTACAAGAGCTTTCTTGTTCCAAAACAATACTGGGGGGAGGTTGTTTTAACCGCTATTCATCTCATCGATCGGCTTCCTATAAGAGTCCTTGGTTTTAAAAGTCCAATGCAGGTCCTTACACAGTTCTTTCCCAATTTTAACGCATCTAATAATCTTGTTCCAAAGATATTTGGTTGAGTTGCCGTTGTTTATGTGCATTCTCAAAACAGGGGAAAACTTGATCCTCGAGCTCTCCAATGTGTCTTTCTTGGCTATTCCTCCACCCAAAAGGGCTACAAATGCTATCATCCTCCGACAAGGAGATTTTATGTGTCTGCTGATGTTACTTTTGTCGAACAAGATCAGTACTTTAACGGACCTTATCTTCAGGGGTAGACATCTTTCATAGAAGATAAGGACAAGGATCTTTTTCTCCTTGAGTTTCCAGTCCCTATCTTTCATCAATCCGAGTTAAACATACTCCCAAACATTCAGTCCGAGCCAAACACACGGGCAAAAGCCAAGCCTCATACACCCAAATCACAAGGAGTGTTACATGGGAAGCAAACTCGAGACTTTACTCATCTATTGCAGATTCACTTAAAGAAAAAAGCACCAATCTCTCAACCTGTGCAAGTTCAATCACCCAAATATGCTCTTGGTAATGTCGAGGTAATTACTCATCCCAATGATAACACTAATGAAACCTTTGAACAAAATGATTATGATGTCCCTATTGCAATTAGAAAAGGAACTCGAACTTGTACCAAACACCCTCTTTATCTGTTCATGTCATATAAAAATCTTTCTCATAACCATAGAGCCTTTCTTACTAGCTTAAATACAGTCCCTATTCCCAAAACTTTATCCGATGCATTAGGAAATGAGAATTGGGAAAATGCTATGAAGGTTGAGATGGAAGCACTTGAGAAAAACAAGACTTGGGACTTGGTGAGACTGCTTAGAGGGAAGAAGCCGGTTGGGTGTAAATGGGTGTTCACAACCAAATACAACTCAAATGGCTCTTTGGAAATGTATAAGGCAAGATTAGTTGCCAAAGGGTATACACAAACCTACAGCATAGATTATCTTGAGACTTTTGCTCCAGTTGCTAAGATAAATACTGTCAGAATCCTGTTATCAGTGGCTGCAAATTTTGGCTGGAGATTACAGCAATTTGATGTCAAGAACGCCTTCTTACATGGTGATCTTAAGGAGGAGATCTATATGGAGATTCTGCCTGGGTTTGGCTCAAATGAAAAGGAAGGAATGGTATGTAAGCTTAAAAAAGCTTTGTATGGACTGAAACAATCCCCGGGAGCTTGGCTTGGGAGATTTACCAAAGTGATGGTGAGTATGGGATATAAGTAAAGTCAAACACTCAGCATCAAAGGGAGTGACAGTATTGTTGGTCTGTGTGGATGACATCATAGTAACAAGAGATGACTTGGAAGGAATGGAGAGCTTGAAGAAACAGTTAGTGAATGAATTCAAGCTCAAAGAGCTAGGAAAACTGAAGTACTTTCTTGGTATTGAAGTAGCCCACTCTCAGCAAGGGATTTTTATACAACAAAAATATGTGTTAGACTTGTTGGCTAATACAGGCAAGCTGGGATGTAAGCCAGTTGAGACACCTGTGGAGTCAAACCACAAACTTTGTGATGCTCCAGAAGATATGGCCATGGATAAAGGCTCTTTTCAGAGACTTGTGGGGAAGTTAATTTATTTGTCACATACCAGGCCGGATATAGCTTATGTTGTGAGTGTTGTGAGTGTTGTGAGTCAATTCATGCACAATCTCAAAGAATTACATCTCAAAGCTATGTATAGAATTCTGCAGTACTTGAAGGGTACACCAGGAAGAGGAATTATGTTTAAGAAAGGGGAAGGACCGACTCAGGATTCGTGATTGACAGAAAATCAACCTCGGGCTATTGCACCTTCCTAGGTGGTAACCTCGTTACTTGGAGAAGCAAAAAACAGAATGTGGTTGCAAGGTCCAGCGCAAAAGCTGAATTTAGAGCGATGGTACTCAGGATATGTGAACTGCTATGGCTAAGGATAATCTTGGAAGATCTGAGAGTCAGATGGGAAGGTCCAATGGAGCTTTACTATGATAATAAATCAGCCATCAATAATATTACACACAATCTTGTGCAACATGACCGCACAAAACACATTGAAGTGGACATGCATTTTATTAAAGAGAAGTTGGATAGTGACTTAATTTGTACTCCTTTTGTTCCTACTGGAGAACAGCTAGCAAACGTGCTTACCAAAGGATCGCCTGGTACATTTTTTCAGAGAATAACCAACAAGCTTGGAATGGATGACATTCATTTACCATACCAGCTTGAGGGGAAGTGTGGAAAAATACGATTCTTTCCTTGTATAAGAAAATCGTGTACAGGCTATTAATAGTTAGGGATTTATTATTTATTGTAATCCCTAATTTCTAGGGATCCGTTTTTTATATGTATTAATGTGTACCTTCAGGATTAGTTAGTTTCCTAGAATAACATTATTAAAATGTATATATAATAGTGTATTCCTAATTCTTTAATCAATTGATTCAATTACCAATTTCAGTAATTTTGTCAGTTACAAGTGAAACTTGTCCCACATCGAATTTGGATGGGGTTTTAGTGTGTACAAATGGGTGAGTATGCAATACTACCCAACAATTTGAACTTTTGGGTAAATGGACAAACGTCCACCTATCACAGTTAGTATCATAACCAAACCCGGTCGGGTGTCACGTCAAGCTCCAGGCCCGGAGGGCGTCCGGGTCTGACCCCGAGTGGGCAGGGTAGCCCAACCGCAACAGGTTAGTATAAATGGATGAGTATGCAATACTACTTAATAATTTAAATTTTTGAATAAATGGACAAACGCCAACCTATCACAGTTAGTATCATAGCCAAACCCAATTAGGTATCACGTCAAGCTCTAGGCCCGGAGGGCGTCCGGATCTGACCCCGAGTAGACAAGATAGCCCAACCGCAATAAGGACTTCTCCGAGTTCAAATGGAGAAGAATGTTACAAGTGATTTTGTTTTGCCATCCGAATATAAATATATATATTTTTTATATCATTCCCGTTTCCATATATTTTCTTGTCCCGCAAAGTTAAAATAGACGAGGAAATAAGCAAATATAGTATAATGCCCTGTAGGAATACTACTCCAATATAAGCAAATTATACACACAAAGCATGAGCTAAGCGACATGCAATTAAATAATAAAATAAAATCTCAGCAAATAAATAAAGTAATAGCAATAATCACAACAGTAATAAATTGGGAAGATAAATGAGCTATACAAAAAATTCAGCAAGACAGACATGCAATTTGATTCTCTCTCATCTCATTGTAAGGAGTTAATCTCACTTCGTAATATAGCACCACTAACAATAATACAACATATATAAATTCCAAAAAAGTTATCATAAACAAATAACAAGGATTCATATAAAAAATGACTCCAATCAATTGTTCCAAAGGAGGAAAAAAATGAAGGAAAAGGGCAAGATAAAAAAGAAAGAGCAGCAGGAACATTCTTCTGTAAAAACCAGCAGAGAACATGTTAGCACAGATCAAAAGTCAGCCAAACAATACTCAAGCAATCTGATACAGAAATGCATTTAGGACAGTCACTTTGAGCAAAGTTTTATAAATAAAAAGATTCGGGATCAGAAATTCGACTGTGGTATAATACACGATTCAGCATTCTCAACGAACCAGTCCTCCCAACATAACCACCACCCTCCCAAACAAATAAATTGGGCACACACAAGCAGATAAGCGGCATCAGCAGATCATAGCATTTCCTGTGACCGTCTTACACAACGGCTTACCTTTTTCTTGAAGTCGTCCCTCCTCTCTCTCCATTCCTTCTGCAACATCAATTTGCACCAAAATGGTTCAGAAAACAATGTTCTGAATACAAGTTTTTCAAATTAGTAAAAAGTTGTTAGATAATAAGCACCAATTGGTCTAAGAAATTCCTAGCTTCATGCCTCATTTAATGACAAAGACACTTGCAGAAATGAAAAGCAACGCCACTACAATTATAGTTCTGTCAATCAGAAAAGTGATGAAAAGAAGAATTGGAAAGAAATCTAAATCATCGGTATGAAGAAAAATTGATGTAGCTGGTCCAAGTTGGGAAACAAACTTCCTGTTGTTGTCATATACTATCAAACAACCTTCCTACATCATTTTTTTGAATAAACCGTGATATAACTTTGGACATATAAACATGCAAAGGAACTCGCTTATCAATAAGAAAAAGACGCACAAATATTTGTGCATAACAAAAAGATACCCCAACTCAATCACAAATCTGTCTTTCCTCTCGTCCAGAGATGTGCTGGCTGGGAACCATCATGACCAGTTTAAACGACTCTAAAACACCTCTCCCTCTGAAAAGTCATGCAGTAGCAGCACCACAAACAATAGCGATGAAGCATATAATTCAAACATATTTCCCGATAAGTAATGCCCCCACCCACCCCACCCCCCAAAGGTGTGGGCAGGGAATACCACTTTAGCCGGTGGTTCATATAATTCAAACTATTGATAACAGAAGTGATTCAAATCCATTCAAGATTGCTTCAAAAAATCATTCCAAAATAAATTAAGCCTCCGCCATGCTAAAAATTTAAGGCCTCAAACATCAGCAGAGCGTAGAGCATTTACCAGTATCAGAGCATCGGATCGAAAAACACTGGTACAACTACCTTAAAGCCATAAAAGTGTTGCTACTGATTTCAACTGAATAGGAGTCTTCACAACATACAAACTTATGTAAAAATATACACAAGAAACTAAAATATATTTAACCAACCAGCGTACTGGTTTGCGGTGTCTTAGTTTCTTGTTCAAGTACAATCATCAAGCATAATGTCTGCTTACTAAATCATAATACAGTGCATAAAAACCACATTCAGTGCTTAGAGTGGCATGGACAATTCAAAATTGCCAACATCCATTAGCAAGTTTATATAAAATCCTTTAAACCGATCAGAAAAAAACAATGACCAAGCCAAATAATGAGCACTAAAATAAAATTCACTCGAATAAATTAATAGACAATAAGTACCAAGCTTGACCAAATTTACCATATTTGAACAATTATATATCTGAATAAGTAAAATGACACCACAGCTAAATTTTGTCAACTGATGATGGGCTGAGCATAAAAGACGTGCATAAACTTGAGTATCTGCAGGCAACAAATAGGTCAACACTGCAACTCTCGCTAAAGTGGAGTCACAAGAACATCTTACGCATGCAGCTCGAAAGGGGAATGGGAAATAAATGAAAAATTAGCATGAGTGAAAGAAAGCATATAAGATCATAAGTTTTCCCCATTTGCCCTCTTAAATACCACTCAAAAAATCAGATCCCAATATTACTCTATTCCACTCTGATGCAGAGTGAAGAAAAGTGAGTAATAGCAACAGAAATATTCGTGGCATGTCTAAGAGACTAAATACTTTCTTAGACTCCCCGATTACCTATAAGACAATTGTAATATCACAACGATAAAACCTAGATTCTGCCTGACGAATAAAATCTATTTATCAACCTTCAATAAAAGTTGCTCTTTTAAAACATAGAACTCACAGCAAGGTGCAAGTGATATCACTGACATAACAATGTCCCCACCTCCAACTTATACATTTAGCCGTTTAGCCATAGAATCTAGCGAAACATTTCTTTAGTTAAAGAGAATTGAAGCAACATGGAATGAAACCCAACAATGACAAAAGCTCCTATATGACCTAATATACAATCTAAACTCATTTCTCTACTTAATGGTTAATGCAAATCCCACCGATTAAAATGATCATATAGACCAACAAACCACAATTATTGCATCCAAACTAATCCAGTTAGAATTTCAACTCTAACCCACTAGATATCTATGAAGCCCACACTATTAACGTAAGAATATAATCTGATTATCACTACAGAAAAGCACAAAAGGAGGTTGGTTTGTGAAGAACAAACAAAAACAAGGGAATTTTAGAAAATGCAAATTAGAAAATGTTACAAGGACAGTGCATGGAAAGGAAGTCATATAATGACCTTTAAGTTACAATGAAAGAAATGTTTAGCTCGCAAATAATTCCCTCATTTATCAATGAGAAAATTATTAGTAAAGGATTAAACTATAAAAAAAATAGATTGCTTTTAGATGGCAACTGAAATTTGAAAATAACTTTCTAGAAGAATAAACACTAGAAAGAATAGTAAACTCAATTCAACAAAACATTTTCCTAACTATTTGGGGTTGATACACAAATCATGTTTCACCATTCCACTCTAAGACCATAACCTTAGTTCAAATCACATGTTATAACTTGTCATATCTTTTCTTCCTATCTCAAACCACACTAGTTTTGGTCTTCCCTTCCCCCTAGAATTGCCCTCATTTTAGAAAACACTGTAGAAGAGAAGTATGAATAAAAAATGAAAGCAGTAAGAATTAATTGTCACCATCATCTTTTAAATGCTTTGGCAGTCTGTAATTACCCTTTTGTTTCTAGGAAACATACTTCACAGATTCACCATTTGCAAACGAAAAAAAAAAAAAAACTCCCCTCAGGCACTTCCAATAACATTATGAGAAGATCAGCCATTTCACAAATTAAAATTAGAAGACGCTGCTTATTATTTGGGAAACCGCTTCAAAAAGAACTCCAAACCCCAGAAGTAATAGGAATTGTGAATTATATGGGTTCCGAGATCAGAAATTTTGGTGGTTGGATCACAAAATAGATTAAGCCTTTTATAATAGATGATTAAGGACAAAAAGTAGCAAAAAATGCATGAACAGGTAAAATCAACCAAATTTATGTATTTTCCTGTTTAGGAAAGAATAACTCTACGACAAACTCTAATAATGACAAAAGATTACTGGTCAATCAGCAACAGTAAAAGTAGAAGCTATTTACCTGGGGAAAAATAACAGTAAACGTAGATGCTTAATTAGCAACACTCGATAGGGAAAAAACAAAAAAAGTGGCAGTAAGATAAGAACCCCTAACCTCATTCTCCCTTTTTTAGAAGCAAACCTACATTGCACCACTGTGCTGCAATGCATTTGCCAGCGATTAACAACTTCAGGAAGTAGTCATCCATGCAACGCAGAAATGACAGTCTGTTTAACCTCGACTAGACTAAAAAACCATTCGCAGCCCAAGGTTCCGTGTTCATAGAAGAAAAAAAAGACTAGGAGAACATCTGGGCAAGGAAAGATGCTGTCAAAGGTTGAACAACCAACCCACGTTTTCACTCTCAAGGAAGGTGCGCAACTACATTGGGAAGGGCGCTAGATGGTGGGTTTGTTTATCCTTCCAGTTTTGAGTGTATTCTTGGATAGCTATAGCGGCCGTGGGAACAAGATGTACCTTGGTGTGTGGGTGGGTGGGGGTGTCCCCTGGACATATTCCTTTCAGGCAGTGCCCGTTTAGTCCATGGTCCATTGGTTTTGTCTCATGGTAGCCTGCTCCAGTCCCTTACAAAACTGCTTTTGAGATAGAGACTATTAGCAAGTGACCCTCTTGTGATCAGCCTCATTCATGGTGGCAAATTGTCTAATCAAGAGAGTGCTGGTAGACGCAGGCAGCAGTACAAAGAGAATGGTTTTACTTGCTCACTCTATTACTAGCCCTTGCTTCGCTGTCCACAGCGACCCCGAGCCCTCTTGCTACTTTCCACCCTTTTTTCTTGCCTTTTCCTTGCTCGTAAGATGAAAATTTCGGACAAAATTGGCCTTAGGTCTACAGGAGGGAAAGACCGGATCTAATAGCGCAAATGCCACGTGAATTAATAATTTAAGTAATAAGAGATCTTCTCTTTATTTCCTTATTGCGTGAGTCAGAAGCGAGCTTCCCATAGTGGAAGTAGAGAAAGCGCTCTTCACGAGCCAGAAAATCTAACCTATGCTTTTAAACCATCCGTTCAACACCTGGATGTCCAGCCCACTGAGTGTCATTCATATCCCTCGTAAGCTCTTTCCGGGGTCCCCTCTTTCACAATTCAACTGGTTTCAAAGCTCATATCACTGAATCTAGAAATTCATTTTAAACCTACCACATATGAAGGTTTGATACGCTTTGTGACTGGCTGAATGTAGAGCACACACAATCCATCATCCTCCTCCCAATCAACAAATCTATTCAATAACTAAATTATGTCAAACTCCAACTAAGCAACATTTAATCATTAAACAGATTTATGATAATCTTAAAACTCATGGAAAATGAACAAGTAATAGAAGATTCCAACATCTAGATTGCATTTCCATATTGCAGGAGTCCCCTGCTATCAGCCTTCTAGGCAAATTTGATGTATTAAGCGAAGATCAAAAATTTTCTTTTAAGTTGCCACATCAACATCTCTGCCCCCATATTATTAGAATTTAGGGATCAAGCCATCACCTTTTTTTGTCTTAATCCCTGGTAATGAATTAACAGGAGGACCAACTTATATTCCAGGTTAGCCAACTAAGGACTTAAGTAACTTAACTCATTATCCACATTGTAGCGCATACAAAGCACAAGTATTTACAGAAAACAAATTTATGAAAATATTTATATGAAATTATTAAATAAAGTATCTGCATTTCATTTAGCAATTTTAACCTATCATCGACCAATGCAGTTCACAGACAATCATGTTGCTGTGAAACATGTAAATACTAGAGCATGCAAAAAGAAGATCACGCAAATTGGTTGTTGGCACATTTTGGTAAATAAGTAATTGTTATCTTCGTGGAGTAAAAAGAAGTCATGTAGATACTTAAAAGAAAAGATGAAAAAACAATAGTTGCCAAAATAGAAATACAGCAAAGCACACAATTGCTACTTACTGCAGCTTCTATGTTTGCTGGGGATTCATCGTTTGGACTAGAAAGCATTGATATGATGCTCAAAACTATACTCTCAACCTGTCACAACATGAACATCAATATGTCAAGAGATAAAGGACAAAAAGTAGTAATGCAATGATCTTTAAAACAAATGCACCCTAGGTCTCCACACTCCCCTTTTTCCTCTCTTGTGAGCTTGCGTGATGGGTGTGAGTGACAATGTTATTGGTACTGTTAGCCTAAAATTTGAATAGTCCAAGTGGTCCTGTGGGGTAAGCTGTGAATTACATCTGTGCAAGGTTACAAACAGAAAACCCAAGTGGTTACGAAACAGAGAACCCACATGGTTACCAAACAAAAATTCAACAAATTAGAGTTTAAACTTTTAACACAAAAGTTCTTGTTTCCAAATTTTCAAATAGACATCACAAAATAAACTAGCTCATTATATGCAGTGAGCTACATACCCTTGCAATAGGTTGCATATCCTCACTATATTACCCATGTGAGGAAACAGTTTGTCTAAAATTCCTAGCAAAATATTCTCTCTCTCTCTCTCTCTCTCTCTCTCTCTCTCTATATATATATATATATATATATATATATATATCGGAAAAAATAGTCTTTATTTTCCACAGATTTTTGTTTTTGTTATATTCAATTGCAGACTAAGTGATGAAGAACTGGGCATAGCCCGAGAGCTTGAAGTACACATGGCCCACACCTACTATTGGAGATGTGGGAAAGATGGATGAATTAGGAATTTTTATCTATTTATTTTTATAACTATTTTAGTAATCGTTTAATTTAGGATATTTCAGTAATTTAGTATTTTAGGGTTTATTTATGGTAGTAGGATTTGATTAGGGTTTTTCTTGATGCCTATTTATAAACATTGTTAAGACACGTTTTATGATTGAATATTGAGTGATTACAGATTTTCTTCCCCCTCATTCTTCTTCTTCTCTCTCGTTCTCTTTCTTGTTCTTGAATTTTGATTTTTAAGCCCCCATTACCCCCCATCCTGCATCACTAAGCTTACTCCATCATAATACTTTCTTTTTCCATAAACAAGGAACTTCAACAGTAATAATTTTCAATCTTCATTAATGACATATTATTTATTACCTTCTATTACAATAATGTTACTATCCAAGATATATGCTGTTTATCATTCAACCCAAACATCAAGGCCCAGAAATGTAGCTCTCCAAAACGACATTAGACACCTGTGTGGCAGCATGGAAAACTACAATGAAGGCAATAAAATAGCATCATTGACATGTTTATTACATACCGTATGAACAGGTGACCACCGCTCACTTGCAAGCTCATAACCATTCGGGTCATCACCAGGAGGATGGAGAATTGATATGCAAACCCGCCCATCAGGATAAACTATAATTTACAAAGAAACCAGAATCATTTTTAAGCAGCACTCCAATGACAATAATAAAATTCAAGCAGATGAAAAAGAGTGACCAACCATTGGGATGCCATACTTCTGAAGTAAACTTCACTGTTGGAGGGCTGTTCGGGTAATTGGATGGAAAGCTCATGATGGCATTGAAAAATCCCCCATCACTAGAATAACATAATTTGTAAAAGAAGAATAAATTTAGAAAATAGTTCACTTCATAAAGTAATGAAAAGAATTTCAAGTGATCAGCATTTCCCTAGATGAATCTCTCCAAACCCATTATTACAAGTCAAAATTTTGACAAAACCGAGAAATGAGATTGACAACTATTATATGAATCATATAAATGGTATAAGAGTCTTCTCTAAATCTTCCACCGATTAAGCATATAAATGGTATAGGACTATTATACATGGTTTCGTAATTCACTACGAAAATATTATGAGCAAATTTAATGTCAAATTCTTCAACACTGAAAAGAGAGTCACTGACTTATCTCCAGCCCTCCCCTTTCAGTAGATTGCCTTAGATTTCTCCCATCCGACCTCACAAAAAAGTCCCATTCACCACCTATTTTTATCTGGCCCCTATGACTGTAAAACCATGAAACAACATTATTTGATCAAGAACAATCTACAATTGATTGGCCGACTAGTGAACGCACTGACTAATTATATAGACCAATTTAGATGAAGCAAACCCAATTAAAAGGTAAGAATCATTGTTAGGATTACCTCATAATTTTATCTAACCTTTGTGGTGCGTAAAACTATGTTATAACATTATCCAATCAAAAACAATCTACAATCAATTGACCAACCCAGAACCCACTAATTAATTTAAACCAATTTGGAAAAGCAACTCGAATAAAAGTGAAAACTTATTACCATCATCACAATCTGAACCCCTTGAATAAATCACAAAAATTATCTCTAACAAGTAAGATGAACACAAGGAACAAATTAAAATTTGATAGTATAATGATACGATCCTCAAGAAGTAGAAGTAAAAACTATTATGAGAGTTGCTTCGTAGATTTATCTGACCTCTGTATCTACAAGCGTAAATATATGTTACTAACATTATCGGATCAAGAACAATCTACAATCAATTAACCAACCCAGAACCCACTAATTCTTTAAACCGATTTGAAAAAGCAACCCAAATAAAATTGAAAACTCTAGACTCTGCATCATTAAAATCTCAACCCCTCGAATAAATCAACGACAAGAAGTAAGACAAACTCTAGAACAGATCAAATTTGATAAAAAGATACAATCTTTGATTTGAAATGGAGAAGGTAATGAATGCATACTAAAGAGTATCAGGAGGTCCAATAATGGTGACACTCCATTCAAACATATTGCTCTCATCAACCAAACCAGCAGAGAATCCATCAACAGGTTTCTTGCAAAGATCTGCAAAACAAAGAATCGATCGATCAATCAAAGAAACGATCCGATTACATAAAAAAAGGAGGGGAAATTAAAGAAATTATGTGTTTGGATCGTAGAAAAAGAGAGAAAAATCAAGTACCTCTGAGTTGCTTTTGGAGGAGGAGGCATGCTTGTGTGCCCATGAGAGAGAAAGAGAGGTGTTGGATTGCTGAGGAGGAGGAGAGAGAAAGTGAAAGAGTCCCGCCGTATAAGCTTATATAAGCCGACACTTCGGTTTATTTATTGAGTATTATTATTAAAAATACTCTTAATAGATAGATAGATATGTATAGATATAGATATGAAGAAGGTTCTGTTCTGAATATAGCAACCTTATGTACTCAGTTTGCATGCGCAGGAGAGTGGAAGGAGCTGAATCTTCTGCAGCTATCATTCATTTCAATGGTGTTCTAACCAAATCAGTTTGTGCCACGTCAAAGGAATTCCCGAGCGGATGTGTCTTTTTACAATACTAAAAAAATTAATCAATAAAGAAAAGAAAAATATGATTGAATCATATCATGAAGGTTCTTATTTAAGGAGGCAAGTATTCTTCCGATAGCTTTGAGTAATCCTACCCTCCTTGACTTCTTCAATTGCAAATCAATTCCGTAACGTTATGATGACCAAAGAGGGTGCGCCCTTATATATTGATTTTACAGCATTGTGATAAGGCCGTGTAGGAGATTGTAATATGTACGAGTGTGAATTCAAATTTAAGTTGGCTAAATTATCTTTATTGAATTATTTTATAAAATATATAAAAATAAATAATTTTATAAAATAATTGAAAATGGTATTATTAGAGGATACTCCTCACGTGCAAAAAAATACCCCCTGAAGTTTTAGTTTTAATTTGGTATAAATTTAAACCCTAATTGACTAAATTATTCTTATTGAACCATTTTATAAAATATATAAAAATAAATAATTTTATAAAATGACATCATTATTGGATGATGCCGACAATGGACAAGTAAAGAAAAAAATAAAAAATGAAAATAAAAGGCAAACTAAAGAAAATAAACCTGCTCCAAACTCGAAAAACTAGTGCACACTAGGGGTGGCAATTCCTGGTCGCATGTCGTAATTGTGTCGTGTCAATTTAAGGGTATTATACTAAACAGCTCAACCCGAACACAACCCGTTTAATAATCGTGTCAGGAACTCTTAATACTAACCCGACCTGTTTATTAAACGGATTACACGTGTAACCCATTTAATGACCTGTTTACAATATATATATATATGTATATATATAATTTAAATTATTAATAATACTCAATAAAATAATAAATACTAAAAAAAATAAGTTTTAATAAACCAAATTGCTAAATGATTTCTAATTTACAAAAGATATAATTATAAGACACAAGTTTATATAGTAATTTTAGAACTTAAATAGAAATTTATTTATGACATATATAGTTAAACGTGTATAAACGGATTACACGGGTTAAACCTTTTAACCCAAACATAACACGATTAACTAAACGGGTTAATCGTGTCGACCCTTTTATGACCCGAACTCGTTTGAGGTCAACTCAAACCCGTTTAATTAGTGTCGTGTTCGAGTCGTGTTGGCGGGTCTTGTCAACTTTTGCCATCCCTAGTGCACACTGATATTGGAATTTTTTTTTTTAACAATGTTGGTACGAAATAAAATAAAATAAAGAAGAAAAAAATTAGTAGAAAACAATAAACTGAAATCTCAAAAAAAGAAGTTTTGTAGGGACGGTTGGGTATAAAGATGGCAATTTATCCCACGGGAATGGATACATGCCCCACACCGCCCCGTTTATAGCTATTTTGGGGAACTGCTTAGCTTATTTGGGCAAAGATGATTTTTATTAATGAAAACCCGCACGAGTTAAGGGCGGGGACACGGACAGGGATAGGGGAGGTCACCCCGCCCCGCCCCATTTAGGTAGGTAAATTACTAAATTACCTTTATTTTATTAGTATATATAATTAACTCTAGAAAAATTAAGTCGCATTCACTCACTTTCTCAACCGTTCTAATAAGCGACAGAGTCCTACGAACTAAGAACGTTCATACCTTGAATTTTATGTTAAATTATTGATTGCCCATTTTTTATGATTTTTATCAATAATTATATAATTGTATTTAAGGAAAAAAATTTAAAAAGTAGGAGAAATTCTGGAACTAAACGGGGCGGGGTGGATGCTCACGGGAGTAAAAAAGTTAAATAGAGTGGGGATGGGGTGAAAAGGTCCCCTGTTTAGGCGGTATTAGGTGAGGATGGGCAGGTTTCTAAACAGTTGTGGAGGCGAGGGAGGGTATACCTGCCCAAAACCACCCCCGTTGCCATCCATAGTTGGGCAAGAATGCCTAATTTGTTCTACCTCTAATGGGTTCTACCTAAAATTCACCCATGAGGTTACAAAAAATTAGTTACTTGACTAAAATTCACCATTTGAGGGTGGACAAGTGCGCGCGTGTATGTGTGTGTCTACATATATGAATAGAGAATAAAGGATAGAGTAAAAGACTATCATTTTGCTAACTCATCTTTCAGGAAAAAATCGAGAATCGACTAAGCATTCCCTGTGCGAGACAAGCGAGCCAGGGAATAAGGGGCAACTGACGTGGGACTCCTAATTCTAATAGAAAGTTGCAATGACACGGCATAGAAGTTGAACAGATTTACCCCTATAAAAGGGCAAGACTGGTTAAACTGAAAGGTACACGGAAGAAAACCTTAGAAGAGTAGTTTCCTCTCTTTCTTTATTTCTCCGATTCAGTTCTAATTTTTCCATCGGAGACCTTTAGGTAGGCACCACACCGGCACCTTTTCAATAATCTTCCCCTTCCCTTGCTGGTTTTGGGTCGCAACATAAATTTGCATCAACAAATATCTATTTAAATTTATTGAATTATATCAAGAAGATTCTTCTTTATATTTAAGGAGGTAAGTATTATTCCAATAATTTGATTTTTTTCACTTTTCATGACTTCAATTCAAATCAACTCATAAAAATACGATGACGGGTGAGGGTGCACCCTTATGTATTCGAATTTATTGAATTGTGGCAACACCATTTGGTAAGAATGCAAGTTCAATGTAAGTACGGCGATATTAGTTCATCACCAGACCTCGATAATAACCAAATTCTTGTAACAAATCTTCTTGAACTATCAACTTTTTGCAATAACTCTTTTAAACGAATTTTTTTAAAGAAAAATTTCCCTCCATCTTTTAAAATGGCGATTAAGTATTCACTAAATATCTATGAATTTATTGAATTGCGACGAACCATTTAGTAAAGTTTAATAAATAATAGTGTGATTTCAAAGTAAGTACATCCTAATTAGTTCATCACAACTTTTTGATAATGACGAAATTATTTCAATTGTCAACATTTTACACTAACTCTTTTGAACGATTTTTAATTTGAAAAAAAAATTCTTTTCATCTTTCAAAATGGCAGTTTTTTTTTTTTTTTTTTTTTTTTTTTTTTTTTTTTTTTTTTCCTTAGAGCATGTGTATGGTAGTTAAGTATCCATTAAATTATAATATGAAATTACTAAAACATAGTAATAAAATTTGAAATTTTAAAAGGCGAATTGCAAAAAAAAACCACCCCTTAGCAAATACCCCTCTTATGAATTTTTGTAGCAAAAAACCCCTCTCAACTATCATGAGGGGGGTATTTTAACGTTGTAGCGATCAATTGAAGCAATTTCCTGGACAAAATTACCCCTTCTATCAAAACACACGCGCGCACGTGGCTTTGAATTAACTTCAGCTTGGTCATTTTCATCACGTGATGAATCGTGTGTCAGAGTTTCAAACCCGTTTTTTCCACCTTTGTAATAGGAGTCAAAGATTTCACCTCGCCACTATCGAGGGTTCTCTGTGATCAGAGGTTTGCTCATTCCATCGAGCTTTTGTGTTCATTGATCCTCTGTTTGGGGCTACTTTGTGGCTGTTGTTGGTGATTGGCTCTTCTCTTCCAACTTGATCAGCTGGCTGTCTGTTCCTCGCTACCGTCGAGGTTTCTGTGTGATCTTTGTGATCTGTGATTTGCTCTTGTTGTTGACTGTGGTGTCCACCGATCTATATCATATGTCTTTTTCCTCGCTTGCATCCAGGTTCCTCGCTTGAGTCGGGGTGTTTTGGATAGAGAGCTTTGTGCTCCTTCTTGTTGCTTCTCTGTTGTGTGGTTATGGGTCTCTTCTGTGTGGTGGATTGAGTGTTATTCTAGTGTTTTTTGAGGTGTAGGTTTTTGGTTTAGTTAGCTGCTGGTTGATTTTACTTCGCCTTTGATTTTTTGGTTTCTCCTCGTTGTTGGATTGGTTTCTTTTGCTCTTCGGGGTGGTGTGGGCGGTGGATGTGGTTTTTCCGGTTGCCAGCGGTTTCTGTGGTCTGGGTTGCGACATTAATCCCTAGGTGAGGCGCCTGTAATACGTTTTTTCTCTTGGTGGGCCAGCCCGGATTCATTTGCTAACCGAGTTTGCAATTCAATTGGGGCAGTGTATGGACCCTTGTATTTCAGGCCCACGAGTTAAGACTTTCAGCCTACCGGGTGCTGCGACTTTTTATTTGGGCAAGACTTCCGTTCCTCAGTCTGAGACAGTGGGCTTTTGTCCGTTACAACATGCTTGTTCTTTTCCTTCGATTTGGCCTTCTGCTCCTTCATGTTCTTTGCCTTCTTCGTCCACTATTGCAAGCAATTTGGTGCAGTTGGATACGTTTCGGGATGTCGGTCTATCATCTTACACTACTGAGTCTCTAAATATTTTGGTTTGGAATTATTAAGGCTTAGGTTCCCATTCAACGATTAAACAATTTCAACGTTTACAAGATAAGTTTTTGCCTGATATTGTTGGTCTTATTGAAACAAAAAATTATCCAAATCGTTATTTTTCTGTACAAAAATTGTTGGGTTTTTCTAATGGTTATGTTGTGGATCCTGTTGGTTTGGCTGGGGGTTTGGTTCTTTGGTGGAAGGCTCGTGTTAATTTGCATATTTTAGAACATACGGAGTTCTTTATTACGGCTGTTATTTCTTCCCCTAGTAGGGATCATTGGGTTTTGTCTCTTATTTATGCAAGTCCTGTGGATAGTTTGCGGGCATCTCAATGGGACTATTTAGCGCACCGAGCTCAGTCTTTGCCTGGGAATTGGGTATTAATTGGGGATTTTAATGATATTCTTTATGATTTTGAAAAATCGGGTGGCCGACTTTAACAGGGATGGCAACTTAAATCATTCCGATCACTGCTGGATCGCTGTGCTTTAGTGGACAT